AACTCCTGGGCTCAAGCGAGTCTCCTGCCTCAGCCTCCCAAGTAGCTGGGACCACAGGCGCCCGCCACAATGCCTGACTATTTTTTGGTTGCAGCCATCATTGTTGTTTGGCAGCCTGGGTAGAGAGAATAGATAGAATCCCCATTAATGGCCTGAAAGTAGTATGGTCATTCTCAAAGTCATCATGACTGTCTCTGCGTAAAGCAGAGGTTCTCAACCTGTGGGTTGCGACCACAGGAACTGTATTAAAGGGTTATGGTATTAGGAAGGTTGAGAACCACTGAGTTAAAGAATAGCCTGCGTTCACTCATGATTTAATTAGTTGTACGGCTCTCCAGATTTATAAATCACTACTAAAGCAACGTGTCCCTTACATGGTTCTGGCTCAGCGCCCGTAGTGCAGTGGTTATGGCACCAACTGCACACACGAGGGTGGCAGGTTTGAAAATGGCCTGGGCCAGCTAAAAACAATGACAACTGCAACAAAAAAAATAGCCAAGAGTCGTGGCAGGTGCCTGTAGTCCCATCTACTTGGGAGGCCGAGGCAAGAGAATCCCTTAAGCCCAAGAGTTGGAGGTTGCTGTGAGCTGTGATGCCACAGCTCTCTACCAAGTGTGACAGTGAGACTCTGTCTCAACAAGAACAACAAAAAAATAAGATGTGGTTCCATGGAAAGAATGTCCATATTGGAATCTGACACATCTGAATTCAAATATCGGCTGAACTTATTTTACTGTCTGTAAAATGGGGCAATACTTTGCAGTTGTGTTTTAAGGGTTAAAGAAGAGAACAGATGTAGTCATGATTCAGTGTAATGTAGAGCTCCAGGTGTGGTTCTCATGATGAAATTTGCCATGGGGCAAAACTTTTAAGGATTATCCTGGCCTGCATAAGGCCCATAGTGGGGGTTCTAAGTGATTGAAAGCCTAAAGCAGATATCCAGAGAGTTATGGGCCTCTGGCAAGCGAGTGCATTCATATTAGCCAATCTGACTGTTATTGAAGAGGTCAGGGCTTATGCTTGCTATAAAAATAAAGATATCTCAGATCTCATTCTTTTCCTGTTTTAGATATATTTTTCCTTAATCATCTGATTGAATGGCCTGAACTTGATAGGGTACTGTGAGTCAAACAGCTGTGTTTTTGCTTTCATTGTTACCTTCAAAATAATCTTTTGGGTTTCCCTTCCTTGTGTCTTAATAGCATCTCAAAAAGATCTTGTAGCTTTTTTGTCATGTATTAAAAAGTTTGGACCAGTCTAAATCCAAACTCACTCTCCAGCACTTGCTTTAAAGCTTCTCCCTGTCCTTTGTTCAGGCCTCGCCCTCAAGTCCAGGGACCTGCAGCAGGGAGGAGGGTTCTTCTGCAAAGGTGTCCACCCTTTTTTTTTTCTGCTGCACATTGGAAGAAGATTTCTTGTTCTTTTGTTTTTTTTGAGACAGAGCCTCAAGCTGTCCCCCTGGGTAGAGTGCTGTGGCATCACAGCTCACAGCAACTTCCTTCCTGGGCTCCAACGAGTCTCCTGCCTCAGCCTCCTGAGTAGCTGGGACCACAGGCCCCCACCACAATGCCCGGCTATTTTTTGGTTGCAGCTATCATTGTTGTTTGGCGGGCTCGGGCTGGATTCGAACCTGCCACCTTAGGTGTATGTGGCTGACCAATAGCCAATTAAGCCACAGGCACCGAGCCTGGAAGAAGATTTCTTTTGGGCCTGATGAAAGCTGATGAGCAAAAAAAAGGTCCATGCATAATTTTCATCATATCTGAATCCCACAGATAAGCAAAAGCTCTGTCTCAAATAATCTGTGTGCAGCCTGAGGCCACAAGTTGAACATCCCTGCATGTGAGGAAAGTTTATGGGAGAGGGAAGCAAAGAACATTTTTTTTTTTTACTTTTTAAAAAACTTGTCATTCAGGGGAGGGGGTGAGCAGAGAGAGGAAGAAGGAGGGAGGAGTGGGGAAGGGATTAGCAGAGAGAGGGAAGGAGGGAGGGGGTGGGGTCTTGGTGTGTGCCATACCTTTGGGGGGCAAGACACGATGGTAAGAGGGACTTTACCTAACAAATGCAATCAGTGAAACCTGGTTTCTTGTACCCACAATGAATCCCCAACAATAAAAATAAATTACAAAAAAAAACCCCCAAAACTTGTCTTCTGTTCAATGTCTTCTGTTACGGTAGGAATCCAATTATTAGCTCTTGTATGAGGCATTTTAGGGAATCTTCAAAGAGCCCTGTAGAAAACCACACCCCATTCCCTGATGGCTTCTGGGATTTCCTGCTACCCTTTTACCATCCTATCAGCCCCTGCCCTTCCAATGGTGTTCAAGGACAGTGTCACCCAGAATGTCTTCTCCAGCATCCACTTGGGTATGAGACGCTCACCACCTTGCCCCTGTAAAGGGCAGAAGAGGAGGTGCTGCACTGTCCTGCCCAGGCGCTGGTCAGATACCCACCTGTAGCCCTCTGCAAGTCAAGTCAGGTTTTCCCATGAACTTTCTGGGGCTCCATCCTGGTGGCAGCAGGAGTCGGACCCCAGAATTTCCGCAGCTCAGCGGGGTGAGATGGGGAGTGCACCAGATACTGGCCTTCCTTCTGGGAACCACTGATCGGTGAGTGGTTCTTTTGAGGTCTTCCTCCATCCCTTTGCTCAGTGGGAAGGGTAGGGAACATCATAAAACTCTCAACTATTACAAATTCCCTCCAGGAACCTCCCCTAATGAATCTGGATGCTTCTCTCCTTAGGCTGTTGGGTGTGAGGCTGACCAGTTCAGACCCCTCTCAGCAGCGACGTGCTGAGCTCTTTTTAGAGTATGAGGCAAATATCCCTCGTGGGACATGGTTTTGAGTCTTTATTCAAAATTCCGGGCAACAGAAAAATCCAATTCCATACCCTATAAATGCAGACGGGTCATGTGAAAAAACTCCTGGCTTAAAAAAATAAATCCAGCACTTAGCAGAGTGAAACGTGAACGCCAGCTTCTGTCAGTTCCCTCTTGGAGGCCACGGCCACAGACACTTTCCCGCCTGAGTTTTGGATTGTCCTAACCCTGGCTGTGAAGTCACATCTTTTGGCCAGAAGCTCTTAAAATAATTTCTGACTTCCCTCCCATCTCCAACGTATCTAACTCACATTGGTTTCCCTTAGATTTTTGCTGGAGCTGGTTCAGAGGCTCAGACGAATAACAGATAAGTGTTTTAATAGAGACCTTCTTGGCTCGGCGCCTGTGGCTCAAAACAGCTAAGGCACCAGCCATATACACCTGAGCTGGTGGGTTCGAATTCAGCCTGGGCCCACCAAACAACAATGATGGCTGCAACCAAAAAATAGCCAGGCATTGTGGTGGGCGCCTGTAGTCTATTTGGGAGGCAGAGGCAGGAGACTCACTTGAGCTCAGGAGTTGGAGGTTGCTGTGAGCTGTGATGTCACAGTACTCTACCCAGGGCAACAGCTTGAGGCTCTGTCTCAAAAAAAAAAAAAATAGAGACCTTCTTGAGGACCTTAACTGCTAAAGGTGAAATTTCCAGCCCCAAAGACAGGGTGGTGGAGAAGGTAGCACTGAATTACTCAAATTTTGGTGAGTGCTTGTATTTTTATTGATTTATTTACTTATAATTTTTTGGGGGGGGGGAGATAGGGTCTCGCTCTACTGCCCAGGCTAGAGTAAGTTATTTTCTTACAGTGTTTTGCATATAATAAAAGCTTCTGGCTTGAAATATTCATGGATTCGTGCCCCTTTCTGTTTCTAACGTATATGACTACACGCCTCTCCATGTGTAACCAAAATAAAGTTTTCAATGTTAGAATCTATATGAGAAAAGGCTGTATTGAACCTAAGATTTAATTAGTTCTGTTTTTAGATCTCATTATTTTCCCCTTCAAAGTAGATGGATAAAAACAGTGGCTGTTTTAGGTGAACAATGTTTCCTTCCTCAGACTTTCTCTAAAAGCCATTCGCCCCAAAATGCAGACCACATTCCTTTGTGGGATGGATGATGGCTGCTAGCTCAATATGTCATCAATAGTCTCCCCTGGGTCGGTGCGATGACTCACCCTGGACACGGTGACTCACACCTGTAATCCCAGCGCTCTGAGAGGCTGAGGAAGGTGAATTGCTTGAGCTCAGGAGTTCAAAACCAACATGATCAAGAGTGAGACCCCATCTCTACTAAAAGTGGAGAAACTACAGCTTGGCGCCTGTGGCTCAAGTGGCTAAGGCGCCAGCCACATATACCTGAGCTGCTGGGTTCCAATCCAGCCTGGGCCTGCCAAACAACAATGACGGCTGCAACCAAAAAATAGCCAGGCGTTGTGGCGGGTGCCTGTAGTCCCAGCTACTTGGGAGGTGGAGGCAGGAGAATCCCTTGAGCCCAGGAGTTGGAGGTTGCTGTGAACTGTGATGCCACAGCACTCTACCCAGGGCAACAGTTTGAGGCTCCGTTTCAAAAATAAATAAATAAAAGTGGAGAAACTAGCTAGGCACTGTGGTGGGCACCTGCAGTCTCAGTGAGAGGCTGAGGCAGGAGGATCATCACTTGAGCCCAAAGACTTTGAGGTTGCTGTGAATTATGATGCCTACTGAGGGTGACAAAGTAAGACTCTCAAAAAAACTCAAAAAACCCCAAATCCCCCAAATACCCAGTCTACACTCACATCTGTGTTAAAACAAAACAAAACAAAAACAAACAAAAAAAACCCCCTGGCTTATGTCCTTTATAAAGAGAGTTGGGAAGGCAGTATTTTCTTACCAAATCTTTAGTTTGTGTCTGTTTCTTTTCAGAGGAAGCCGTAGTCCTGTGTGGATGAAAACACGTCAGCACCTGCAGATGTGGGATTAGCATGAGGGCTGGAAGCACCAGCCGGAGCAGGTGAGCACCCGGCAACAGAGACCCTGTTTGGACCTCAACACAAGCACAAAAGCGGGTTTTCTTTGTAGGGCTTTGGTTTTTCCATCTACTTCGGTGCTAGTTTTTCCTTTGGCCTGGGGCATTGTCTAGGTGAACTGTCCTGTGATACAATAGATGAGGTGAAGTAAGATGGCCATGGGGGCAAAACCCTGGGCTGAAGTCCTGGCTCAGCTAATTACTGACCACGGGCATGTTGCCTATGTTCTCTCAATCTTGATTTCCTCAGTAGCAAAACAAATACTATTTGCTATCTCAGCTTTTTTTTTTTTTTTTTTTGAGAATGAGTCTCACCATGTTGCCCTGGGTAGAGTGCTGTGGCCTCACAGCTCACAGCAACCTCAAGGTCTTGGGTTTAAGCGATTCTCTTGCCTCAGCCTCCCAAGTAGCTGGGACTACAGGTGCCCACCACAATGCCCAGCTAATTTTTGGTTGCAGTTGTCACTGTTGTTTGGCAGGCCCCGAGCAGGATTCGAACCCGCCAGCTCCGGTGTATGGGGCTGATGCCCTAGCCACTGAGCTATAGGCACCGAGCCTGCTTTCTCAGTCTTAAAAAACTTTCAAGCTACGTTAAAGAAAACTACCAAGATATGTAAAGGTGCTTCATAAATGCTTAAGCCCCTACACAGCTGCGTGATGGGAAAATTACACAGGGACCAGTGGTTAGAGAAGGGTCGTCCTGAGAACACAGACCATGCCTCACCAACTTACAGGCCCTGCAAGTTCTGGCTTCTTCCTTTGTGGCCAGCCTCATCTTACACATCTTCCTCTCCCCTCTTCATCTACAACTGCTGTCCACCCATGACTTCTTAGCCAGTCATCACTTCCTCAGGGTACCCAGCTATGACTTCCTGAGCAGGTGAAATGCCTCCTATGATCTTACAGAACCATGTACCTTTCCAGAGTTGTAAACTTTTCACAGTTACAATTGACACTTACTTGAGTGATTTTATATTACTATCTGTCTCCCTGGGTGGGGCCTGTGGCTCAAGGAGTAGGGTGCTGGCCTCATATACCAGAGGTAGCGGGTTCAAACCCAGCCCTGGCCAAAAACTGCAAAAAAAAAAACAAACAAACAAACAAACAAAAAACTGTCTCCCCTATTTGCCTGAATGAGGGGCAGGGATACATTTATCTTACTTATCTTTATCCCCGGTTCCCAACACAGTGCCTGGCCCTTGGAAAGCCCTCAAGAAGTATTTGTTAAATGAGTGACTACATGGTCAGATGGAGGAATGATGAAATGGGTCTTTCTTATAGATATCATGCAGTCAAGAAATCATTTAGATATTTGAGCCTCATCTCTGATCGAAACTTAGCCCAGGCTTGGTGCCTGTGGCTCAAGCAGCTAAGGTGCCAGCCACATACACCTAAGGTGGTGGGTTCGAATCCAGCCCCGGCCCACCAAACAACAATAATGGCTGCAACCAAAAAATAGCCGGGCCTTGTGGCAGGCGCCTGTGGTCCCAGCTACTTGGGAGGCTGAGGCAGGAGACTCGCCTAAGCCCCGGAGTTGGAGGTTTCTGTGAGCAGTAAGCCATGGCACTCTACCCAGGGGGACAGCTTGAGGCTCTGTCTCAAAAAAAAAAAAAAAAAAAAGAAAGAAAGAAAGAAAGAAAGAAACTAAGCCCAAAGAGCTTTGAAACTTTATTGATAGCTGAGGGCCAGTGCAGTGGCTCACCCTGTAACACCAGCATGCTGGGAGGCTGAGGCAGGTGGATTGCCTGAGCTCACAGGTTTGAGACCACCTTGAGCAAGAGTGAGACTCCCCATCTGTAAAAATGGGGAGTGTTTGTGGTGGATGTCTTTAGTCCCAGCTCCTTGGGAGGCGGAGGCAACAGAATTACTTGAGCTCAAGAGTTTGAGGTTGCTGTGAGCTATGACATCACAGCACTCTACCAAGGGTGACAAAGTGAGACTCTGTCTCAAAAAAAAAAAAAGGAGGGAAGGCTGATAAAATGGGCATTGGAAACAGGGTCATGTCTTACCAAAGAAGGCCAGAATACAACTTTGATGCAAGCTGCTCTTTTATATTCAGAGAGGTATTCACCTAAGGGTTATTTGGATTTGTGTGTCACATGGACACACACAAAAGAACATACGTGACATAAAAAAGAGCTTTCTGGAGAAACGGTCCCTCCTAGAGAAACCTGCTCTGGGATGAAGGTACAAGTTGCAGGAGATGAGGTTGTAGCTGGGCAGACTCCATTTCCTCAGGGAAAAATGGTACTTGTCTGAGGAGGGAACTGGCTGGGGCTCCTTTGGCAGATTTATTTATGCTTGTGTCAGAGAGTGTGTGTGTTCTTGCTTGAGCAGGAGCTATCTCCTCGTGTCAGGGCTATTTTATCAAGAGGTGCGAGACGTCATTAGGTCTCAGACCCAAGCTGGCAAAGCGCAGCACCGGCTTGGGGAGGGAGGAGTCCCCTAGTACTGCAAGGAGTCCAGCGTACCCCTGAACCTGGAGAAGTGGCCTAGGTGGGGACATTGGGACCCATCTCCCTTAGCCGTTCCCCCATGGAGATTATTGGCCGAGTCAATGATAATGGGAGTAGGGGACAGGTGGTGCCGAGGGTGGACTCTGTGGGAGGATTGCAGCGGTGACTGTGGACGCTCTGGCATGGTTGCAGCTGACACACGGGTTTATGAGCAATGTAAGGTTCCTCTCTGAGGACTTGCTGAAGTGCCAGAGGAAGACCTGGGCTGGGACAGTCTGGAGAGAGATCGCCAGTGTGGAAGAAGTGAGCAGCAGAGGGAGGGTAAGATTTATTTGTTGTAAATGGGACATGGTTTGTAGCCATAGCCCGGGTAGTTCTCCTGATATTCCTGTTAAAATGTAAGGGTTTTATACCGTGATTTTGCATGTGGTAAAAGACAATTCTGAGGAGCTAATTCCCTCCACATGGCCACGCTGGGCAGTACTTGGACCCAGCGACACTAGGGCAACCAATTTGTCTGGGTTTGCTTGGGACTTGCCTAGTTTTGACACTGAGCATATTGAGTCTCAGGCAAAGCCAGAGGGTCAGTCACCCACTTGTTCAGACTATTCCTTTCAGATGGGGAAGGCACAGTGGATCACTCAAAACCCCCTAACAGAACGCAAACAACACTACATCTTCCTTTGGGATGGATATGAAGCACCTACAAAATACTGAAGGTGTTTTGAGACGCTCCCTTTCATCATATTGTGGACCTGAGGCTGAACTTGGATGTGAGGAGGATCTCTACCCTAAGTGCTGTTCTGGGCCAATCATTCATTTTCTTTTGCCAAGGTACCTTCATCAACATTTTTAGCTATATGTAACAGGGTGTTACTGTTTTTGTTATAATTTGTTGCAACAAAAAGTTTTGTTACAGTTTTTGTTTACAAATTGTTGCACAATTTTCTACTATGTTTTTCCTTAGTAACAAATGATCAATGTTGTGAATTTCAACCTTAAATCAAAAAGACAGGTTTGTTAGACACTCTGCCCTGCTTTTTCATTCTGAAATGAGGACTGCCCTATCGCTAAGATACTCCTATCCTTGAGAAATGGGACAGGGACCACACCTAACTCCCTCAAATGAGTCAAGAAAGTATAAAGTGAGAAAAATAAAGAAGAGAAAGGATTCTACTGACATTCCTTTATTCCAGATTCCTTGGCAGAAGCCGGTTTAGATGTCCAGGTTCCAAGGTCTTGGTGCGAGGTGGAAGGAGCTGTCTGACTTCTCCACGGCAGCACAGGATGATAGGGGGGCAGTGGGATCAACCATCCCTCGAGAAGGCACGTCTTCTTTTTCCAGGAAGATTGAGAAGATGAGGAGCAGTCCACCAAGAGCTAGGAAAACACCAGCAGCCCAGCCCAGGAAGAGGGCATCTCCAAACTCCCACCGAGGTACGATCTCAGGAATGCTGTCATCCCAGAAGTCTCGGATTGTGGCGTGGGCCACCCAGGAGACTGGAATAAGGGTAGTTGCTGAAGCTGACACTTCCAAAGTCCCTCCTAGGAGACAAAGCCGCCTCTTGGATGCCCATCTGATCCCGTGAAACTGGAAGCATTCAGACCCAAATCCAGAGAGCAGAAACCCCAGTAGGCCCAGCCCGTGGGAGGCCACCATGAGGATGCGGGCTACCTGGAGCTCCTGCGGCAGGGACAGGAAGGACTCGAAAGCCTTGCATGCAGTGGCGACTTCCTCCTGATTCACGCAGGCCTCCCACAGCCCCATGATCCAGGTCTCCATCTCATTCAGTTCCAGATTAAGAGTCTTCCACTGGGGCAGGACAGTGGTGACACACGAGCAGAGCCAGCCAAGGAGGGAGAGGAGTAGCCCCCCAAGCTGGACTTTCCCCCGGAAACTCCAGGCCATAGTGACTCCCACCACAGAGGCAGAAAGAAAAGGAGGATGGGTGGTTCAGGGACTAGATGGAGGGGCCACTTTTCAGAAAGCTGGAGTGGAAGATCTTTCCCATTTGGGGACGGTTCTTGTTTCACTTCTCTGAGCAGCAGCTGAAGCAGGTGTTAGAAACTGGCGATGTTTGGGCTTGGGAACGTGTCCAAGATCAGATATGGATGAGATTCTGGGTAGGGTCCCCATGAAAGGCAAAAAAAGCCACATAGTGAGCCATTGACATATATTTAATGAATAAATTCATGAGGTGAAAATGAGATCATAGGAATGATGTTCTAGAAATATACACTGATATAATCTTTTGGGAGGACAACACAACCTCGTACTTTATACTTTTAAATACAGGCATACTTTCACCTAACACCTTATCTTCAGGACATTTACCTAATTTATCATGACTATGTACACAGATTTATGAACATGTTTGTTGAACTATTGTTAATAATTGTAAATGTTGGTTACTACTAGGTAGCTATTTTAAAGTGATATTGAAGAAGAAATTTTATTTATTTATTTATTTGACAGAGTCTCACTTTGTTGCCCTTGGTAGAGTACCATGGCATTATAGCTCATGGCAACTGCAAACTCTTGGGCTCAAGCGATTCTCTTGCCTCAGCCTCCCAGTAGCTGGGACTACAGGTGCCCACCACAATGCTTGGCTATTTTTTTTTTTCTTTTGAGACAGAGTCTCAAGCTGTTGCCCTAGGTAGAGTGCCATGGTGTCACATCTCACAGTAACCTCCAACTGGGGCTCAAGTGATCCTCTTGCCTCAGTTTTTCTATTTTTTTTTTTAAATAGTAGAGACAAGTCTTAGATGCCTCCTTACTGTTGTCAAAAGGCAAAATGACAGAGGCCAGGCGTGGTAGCTCATGCCTGTAATCCTAGCACTCTGGAAGGCGGAGGTGGGCAGTTTGCTTGAGCTCAGGATTTGGAGACCAGTCTGAGAAAGAGTGAGACCCTGTGTCTACTAACAATAAAAAAACTAGCCAGGAATCATGGTAGGTGCCTGTTGTCCCAGTTACTTGGAAAACTGAGGCAGGAGGATGGCTTGAAGCCAAGAGTTTGAGGTTGCTGTGAGCTAAGAAGCTATGGCATTCTAGCCAGGGTGACAGAGTAAGATTCTATTGCAAAAAGAAAGAAAGAAAAGAAAAGAAAGAAAAAGAAACAAAGGCAAAATTACAACAAACTTAGTTTAAAGGTCTTGGGCAGCACCTGTGGCTCAAAGGAGTAGGGTGCTGGCCTCATATGTCAGAGGTAGCGGGTTCAAACCCAGCACCAGCCAAAAACTGCAAACCCCCTCCAAAAAAAACCTTAGTCTAAAGGTCTTAATTGGCTTTATTGGTGATTCTAGAATCATACAACACTTAATTGTAAAATAGAATAAGTGTAGGAGGCTGAAGGTGGGTGGACTGCCTGAGCTCATGAGTTTAAGACCAGCCAGAGCCAGACAGAGCAAGACCCTGTCTCTAAAAACAATAGCCAGGTATTGTGGTGGGCATCTATAGTCCCAGCTACTTGGGAGGCTGAGGCAAGGGGATCACTTAAGCCCAGGAGTTTGAGGTTGCTGTGAGTTATGATGCCATAGCACTCTACTGAGGGCAACAAAGTGAGACTCTGTCTCAAAAAAAAAAAAAAAAAAGTGTTCTAATGGGCTAACCAGAGGAACTTGGTTTTATAGACAGAAAAGGGCTGAAAAAGGCAAAACAAAGAACAAAAAGTAGATTGGAGGTGGCACCTGTGGCTCAGTGAGTAGGGTGCCGGCCCCATATATCAAGGGTGGCGGGGTTCAAACCCTGCCCCCGCCAAACTGCGACAAAAAAATACCAGTAGCTGGGCATTGTGGTGGGTGCCTGTGGTCCCAGCTACTTGGGACGCTGAGGCAAGAGAATCCCCTAAGCCCAGGAGTTGGAGGTTGCTGTGAGCTGTGATGCCATAGCACTCTACCCAGGGCGAGAAAGTGAGACTGTCTCTAAAAAACAAAACAAAACAAAAATAGTAGATTGGTTGTTTCAAAGTTACTTTCTTCATGGGGTGGGAACAGGAAACAGAATAGTACAAACAGGAATGACTGGTTGACATGAGGTTACTCTTCTGTAAGGATTAAAATGGGGAGCTTCGGCTCGGTGCCTGTGGCTCAAACAGCTAAGGCGCCAGCCACATACACCTAAGGTGGTGGGTTCGAATCCAGCCCGGGCCCACCAAACAACAATGACGGCTGCAACCAAAAAATAGCTGGGCGTTGTGGCGGGTGCCTGTGGTCCCAGTTACTTGGGAGGCTGAAGCAGGAGACTCGCTTGAGCCCAGGAGTTGGAAGTTGCTGTGAGCAGTGAAGCCATGGCACTCTACCCAGGGGGATAGCTTGAGGCTCTGTCTCAAAAAAAAAAAAAAAATGGGGAGCTTCATTATCTCACCAACTGAAACAGGTTTGCTTGGGAATTGGGCTATAGTTTCTCAATCTGATTTCTCAGCTTAAGTTTGGTGAAGTAGTACTTTAGCACGACTGACTCCGTTGTGGTTTGGTCTCTCGGGGCTCGTGCAAGAGCTCAGTCCAAACCAATGGTCTGGTCTCCTACAAATTTGATTTAACACTGGACTTCTATGATTCATTCAGATGCTGGGTGCTCCTTTTTCAATATTTCTTCGGCCCTTTGCCCTCCAGCAGGGGCAGATTAAGCTTCAGAGCTTATTATTTGCATAGGGCTCTCCCAGGGTTTGAACCTAATTTTTTGTTAATTATTTTATATTTTTTTCCTTAAACAGTCCTCCCTCTCCCAGGAACTGTATACGATGTAGGGCCCCCTGGATCCATTCTTTATCTACAAAATAGTAATTGTATTTTCCTATATATTGTTAGGATGGGAACTCATGGCACACAGACTGAGAAAGAACTCTTCACACAGAGATGAGAATAGCTTGAAAAGAAGGAAGTTTATTTTGCTTTCCAAAGGGAGGGAAGAACAGGGCACGAGGAAAGGAAGACGTTGCCAGCCCAGGGAACAAGTGGCTTGGGCTTTTATCGAGGATAAAGGGAGAAGAGAAATAGAATGGCCGTTGTTGCCAGCTGATAGCAAGAAGACATGAAGCAGCTGTGTCTGTTTTTCTCGTTTTCACTTCTTCTCTGTGAGACGTCCTTGAAATGTGGTCTGGCAAGAGCAGGAGCTGGGAAGCACCAGGGTCCTTCTATCTGTTCCATTCCAGTCCTGGAAAACAAACTCTCCAATAAAACAATGTAAGCCACAGGTGGTCAGCCAAACAAGGGAGAGCCATTATGTTTTGTATTCGTCCCCTTCAAAGGGGCAAATATGTGCCCTGAATCTTCTCCTTTTTTCTCTGTTAGATAATTAGCAAGGCTGTCCAGTCATACACAGTAGAGCCCCTGAAAGTTGACCACCCGAGGGTCTATAACAAACTGGTCAACATAAGGAACTAGACCTCCTGTACTGATAGGTACATGTGGTGCATGTCCAGTCTATTTAGGTCAAGTTACAGAGGGGGTCAATGTAGGGGTGTGGTCAACTGTGGAGCTTCTACTTTATATTATATTATATATGTTCACATATGTTGAATCTTCAGGCTTGACACAATGTCTACTATGTAGTAACTGCTTAATAAATATGCAATACAAGTTTGCAAACGTTTCATCCGTGGGCCTTTCTTTGTCAATGAGTATTCATTATTAGTGATATTTAAAATTCAGAGGCTGGGCTGGGTGTGTGGCTCATGCCTGTAATTCTAGCACTCTAGGAGGCCGAGGCAGGCAGATTGCTTGAGCTTAGGAGTTCTAGACCAGAGCAAGAGTGAGACCGTATCTCTACTAAAAGTAGAAAAACTAGCCAGGTGTTGTGTTGGGTGCTTGTAGTCCCAGCTACTCAGGAGGCTGAGGCAAGAGGATTGCTGAAGCCAAAGATTTTGAGGTTGCTGTGAACTATGATGCCACGACATTCCACCCCGGGTCACAGAGTAAGACTCTTGTCTCAAAAACAGACCAAAAAAGACTGATAGGTCTACCAAACAGAAATTGATTTGATTTTCCAAGGAGAGGTCTTCCCAGGATGTTATGACCAACTGCAGTGCTTCCTATCTCAAGATTCTGTTTCATTTCCTTTGCTCATGGCACAAGAAGGTGGTCTTGCTTTACTAGGATAAGCAGATTTGTCACGCAGACACTTAAAAAATTGTCAGGGGCCAGGTGGGGTGGTGTTGTGTCCAGGAGTTCCACAAAGACCACGCTGCCAAACAAGTCAAATTTACAGCAGAGTCCTTTTACTGGAGAGCAACTGCCTCAGTGTCCCAACATGGGGTTTCTGAAAGCAGCCCTGAGTGCTTAAGGGGTCAGGTTTTTAAGACTTGATCTGCATCCTGGTTGGCACGCAGGCTGTCCAGGTGTGTTTTGGTGGGGTAGCAAGCAAGCATTGCACAGAAGCTGAATTTTGTGGTTAGTTAGTTATATGTCATACATCTTAGTTTTAATACTTTCCCTCCATACATCTTAGTTTCAGTAATTTGCCCACCTGTCATTGTTTAAAAGTCAGTCCCAGAACAGTCAGTACCTCCTGGTCTGTTTCCCAGGGAGTTAGCCAACCAAGAGACTGGGGATGAACTAGAAGCAAGAAATCAATTAGTACACTCTTATTTATCTTGGGAGTGAACTAGACTTATTTCATTTCATTTGAAAGCTTGCAGTCCAGAAATTTGCTAAGAGTTAACTGGTATTTTTTTATTATAGCCTAGGCCTGACACCTTTCTGTTTTAGCCTAGGCCCACTAGGTCTATCAGTGGCTCACACCTGTAATCCTAGCACTCCGGGAGGCAGAGGCGGGTAGATTGCTTGAACTCAGGAGTTAGAGACCAGCCTGATCAAGAGTGAGACCCCATCTCTACTAAAAATAGAAGTAGACAGGCAACATGCTGGGAATCTGTAGTCCCAGCTGCTCAGGAGGCTGAGGCAAGAGGATGGCTTGAGCCCAAGAGTTTGAGGTTGCTGTGAGCTATGATGATGCCACAGCACTCTACCCAGGGTAGCAGAGTAAGACTGTATAAATATATAATAAAATAAAATAAAAAATTGTCGAGAAATTTAGGGTCAGTGCCTACTTGAAGGTCAACCTTTACAAGCTACCTTTTTTAAATTTGTTTTGAGACGGAGCCTCAAGTTGTCGCCTTGGGTTGAGTGTCGTGATGTCATAGCTCACAGCAACGCCCAACTCCTGGGCTTAAGTGGTTCTTTTGCCTCAGCCTCCCAAGTAGCTGGGACTACAGGCACTGGACACAATGCCCAGCTATTTTTTGGTTGTAGTTGACATTGTTGTTTGGCAGGCCCAGCTGGATTCGAACCCACCAGCTCTGGTGAATGTGGCTGGTGCCTTAGCCACTTGAGCTATAGGCACCGAGCCTACAAGCTACCTTTTAATCAAAGCAGTACCACTGGGCGGTGCCTGTGGCTCAGCAGGTAGGGTACTGGCCCCATATACCAAGGGTGGTGGGTTCAAACCCAGCACTGGCCAAACTGCAACAACATCAAAAATAGCCAGGCATTGTGGTGGGCACCTAAACCCAGGAGTTGGAGGTTGCTGTGAGCTGTGTGACGCCACCGCACTCTACCCAGGGTGATAAAGTGAGACTTTGTCTCTACAAATAAATAAATACAAAGCAGTACAATTGGCCCTCTGCATCAATGGATTCAATCAATCAGGGATTAAAATTATTCTGAGCTGGGTGTGGTGGTGTAGCCTTGGCTTACTTGGGAGGCTGAGGCAGGAAGATTCCTTGAGCCCAGGAATTTGAGGCTGCAGTGAGCTGTGATTGCGCCACTGCACTCCATCTAGCCTGGGTGACAGAGCAAGACCCTGTCTCTTAAAAAAAAGAAAAAAACCCCAAAGAAAAACAACAACAGTGAAAGATAATAAGAATAAAACATACAGTATGACAATTAGTGACATAGTGTTTATGTTGATTTGCTTTTGTTTTTTTGTTTTTTTTGCAGTTTTTGGCCGGGGCTGGGTTTGAACCCGCCACCTCTGGCATATGGGGCCGGCGCCCTACTCTTTTGAGCCGCAGGTGCCGCCCATGATTTGTCCTTGGTTATTTGTAAACACCACAGCATTTTACATGAAGGATGTGAACATCTGTGGATTTTAGTAGGAGAGGAGTTCTGGAACCAGTACCAGTACCATGCTGCAGTCTGGGCCAGTGGGATCACATTTCCCAGCAGGCCCAGGGAGGGCTGCATATTTTTATGACTAAAAAATAGAATAAACACTGTAAGTCCACCTAGAGAAATGATTTGGTGCACATCCTTCATATGTATATTTATTTTTTTTAAATTTCAGATTAACATGAGCATACAAATGATTAGGTTACAATGTTTGCATTTGTTAGGTAAAGTCCCTGTTGTAGTTGTGTTCTGCACCCAGGGAGTGTGCCACATACCCTTACATTGTGCTCATTAGGTGGTAGCATGCCAATCCCCCCTTTTTTCTCCTCACTTCCCCCAACTTTAATTGAGTTTTTCTTTTGTGTGGGCATGTATTACTTTGTCTACCGGCTTCATGTTAGTATTGAGTACATTGGATACCTGCTTTTCCATTCTTGTGATACTTTATTAAGAAGAGTGTATTTTGGGCAGCACCTATGGCTCAAAAGGGTAGGGCGCCAGCCCCATCTGCTGGAGGTGGTGGGTTCAAACCCAGCCCTGGCCAAAAACTGCAAAAAAGAAAAAAAAATGTGTTTTTCAACTCCATCCAGGTTAATACAAAAGATGTAAAGTCTTCATCTTTTTTAATGGCTGACTGGTATTCTATGGTATACATATACCACAGTTCATTAATCCATTCCTGGATCTGTGGGCACTTAGGTTGTTTCCAAATCTTGGTAATTGTAAATTGAGCTGTGATAAACCATCTAGCACAAATGTCCTTATGATAAAATGATTTTTTTTTTCTTCTGGGTAGATGCCTGGTAGTGGGCTTGGGGGATCAAATGGGAAGTCTGCATTTGAGGATTCTCCATACTTCTTTCCAAAGAGGCTGTATTATTAGTTTACAGTCCCATCAACAGTGTAAAAGTGTTACCCTCTCTGTATATCCATGTCAGCATCTGCAGCTTTGGGACTTTATAGACTATTCTCACTGGGGTTAGGTGATCTCTCCAGGTGCATTTCATTTGCATTTCTCTGATGATTAGCATACTTATTAATTTTTTAAAACAGGAATCATGGGGCTGTGCCTGTGGCTCAAAGGAGTAGGGCGACGGCCCCATATGCTGGAGGTGGCGGGTTCAGACCCAGCTCCAGCCAAAAACTGCCAAAAAAAAAAAAAAGGAATCATGTATCTAGCATATTTCAAACGTCTTTCTGTATGTGGTGCATTATTTTGAGACAGAGTCTCA